AGAGGAATACATAGGTTACAGACGGCTACAATTTAAAATTTGTTAGATGTATACAGGATGTCCCACATAAGAAAAAAAATTAGTTCATTAAAAATTATTCAAGCAAGAGTAAACAATTAATTTCTGGGAGACTTTTTTTCCTTAAAAATTCAAATAAATCGAAAACTAATAATAATAGTAATAGGGAACCTTTAGTTAACTGACATTATTTTTGATGTAGTTTTTAATTCTAAAATAAAAAACAGGGTGTTCCATTAAAAATAATATAACTTTGTATATTTTCTCTTATGTGGGACATCCTGTATACATCTAACAAATTTTAAATTGTAGCCGTCTGTAACCTACGTATTCCTCCCAAACGAATTTTTTATATCTTTGGTCGTTTTCCCATAAAGCTCCGTCCCGTTGAGCGTGAGCCACCCTGTATATATAAAAATAACTACTTATGACACATGTTTAAGCTGTTTTAAATTCCTAAAAATGTGGTAAGTACATTTGTTTTTAGAAAAAAACTTTGAAGTCAGCAAGGAATTGCGAATCTTTTTTAAAATGCCAAATTTCGAATATTTTATAATATTGTAGGAGCCAAAAAACGTGGTGTGGTTTAAAAAAAAACTGGGGTGCTCTGCTGGATTCGTTTGAAGCTAACAAAGCATCCCGTATTTTTTTATTTTATAATACTCAATAGCCTAAAATGAGACATAGCTGTTTAAACAAAAAATTGTATTTTTAAAAATAGCAGTTTTTTTTGAAAAGCTCTATAATATTTCAAAAATGTGAAAATGTGGTGAGATTGTTTTTTTTAAGTTTTGAAAATCCGAGGTTCTTTACTGGATTCGTTCAGAGCTAGTAAAGCTCTGCTCGTCTTGTTACATAAAATAAAGGCATTTTGTAGCTGGTTATATAGTTATTTTGTAACTGCATATCTAACCCTTTTATTTTTTTCAGTTGGTTGTAAATATGTGGCTTCATAGAAGAAGTGAGGAACCATCTGTAACATCTACTCAGTGTTATTGGAAAGGCTCTAATTTATCAAAATGCGTAAATATTGATGTACACTTGGCTAGATTGTTAAAGAAACCTCTTCATCCACTACAGGAAAATATATCAGTACTTTTATATTCTTAGGATTTGTATATATATTTTTTATTTGTAAATAAATTGTTTTTTACTTCATTTTTCTCATTTTTTATTAAAAGGTTAATAAATAAAATTTTCACAGATTTTTATATTTTTGTTTGTAAACAATAATTGAAGAGTTTTTATTAAAAATCACCAATGTTAATAATAATAACTTAAGTCAATATTATTCTTTCTCCTTTTTTAAAGCTACTATCAATAAAGATATTACTTTAGCTTGACCTATGATCAATTTTTAAATTTTGCGATATATTTGGTTCGACAGAAAAAAAATTATAACCCTTTGACATTGGTTGTTTTTACTTAGATTTTCATAAAAAATAAACGGAATTGCAAACATGTTTTACTATCGTAATAACGAATAGCAACATTAAATTTTTTTTTTCCACATTTATCACTGTTGTCATTTTCATAAAGGATTGATAAGAAGGCACACTTTCTGGTTTTTTGAAAAAGGTGGCAAGAATTGTGATATTTTTAAATTTATCACCAGTGATACCACATGTAGTTACCCGATTTATTGGAATATATAGACTTTGCTACCACATTCAACTGAACTTGGTTGTTTTTAATATTTATCACTGTGACATAGGCGTTTTTGTCAAATTGTTTCATTTTAAACTGCTGTAAATAGGTGCCTTTGTTTTGTTGTTTTAGTCCCAAAAAAATCTATGCATATTCGCTCCGTGCGCGACAGCAGCGCCAATTTGTTTTGGTATTAAAGGACTATTTCTGCCTATACTGACAAATACAATTTTTAATAGAATTCGTAAATAAAAAGTATATATGTTAGTTTTAATAAAAGTATATGGATTTATAAAACAATTAAAACATTAATTTATTATTATTATATATTTTTCACGCTTAAATTGAAGAAAATTATGTATAATCATTAAAAATCAATAATAAAATATAGGCAGGCAACAGTATTTACTGGAAAATGTATGAGAAGTTGCCTAAGTCTAATAAGTTGTCATTGAAGAAACCATTTATAATAGCGTGAAGTTAAAATGTATAAAAAGGATCGCTACTTATATTTTCATTTTTGATCTAAAGAACACATAGAATGAATGATTAAAACTGGTTTCCGATCAGTAAGTCACAAAATTGCATGCCAGCCAAATATTATAATCAACGGCAGAAATCTTGAAATCTAGTCCTTGCTGAATGAACATTTAAGAATGAAGGGATATTAAAGAACATCGTAAAATGATAATTTATTGTTTATTTAAAAACTTTCTAGTTTCTGATGTCTACTATTTCCAGCATTACTGTTATTATCGCAAAAATAAAGGTAATTTTTCTTCTTATTGTACACCTATCCATTTATTTCTTTGATTTAATTTCCACTTTGTTAGTGAAATTTGTTATATAAGTTTCACTGTTTTTTTTTGCTAGTATTTGTACAATTTTCAACACAGCAACTCCGGTTGCTTATTGTGTTGTTTTTACCTACTTTTTTGAAAAAAAGTAAAATGTATACGTGTATTTGATATGCCAAAATTACAAAATATCCCCCTAAAATGCACGAATTATCCGCAGCTAGCGCTAGTATCGCTTTTGCTTCCCTTTCCATGACTTCGCACGGAGCGAATACAGGTACTCATTCCTCTTTGATTTGTTCGAAAAGTTAAAATTTTATAAAAAATTACATTGGCTGTTTAAAAACTCATTATAATCCCTGAAATGTGATAATTAGGTAAATTAAATTAAAAAAACAAACAAAAAAAATTTATTAAATTAATATTTACTCTTACAAAATAGGTTCTTGTAAGTTAACAAGCAATTATGCAGATATTACTAAGTAAATGTACTTGCTTAAAATTCACACTCGAATGTGGTTTTAACATGTTAAATTAAATTAACTAACTCTTTCCACATGTATTCTTAGAGATGTTATTCTTTTCTCGATTCTTTTACTTAATTGTACATCTTCTGGAGAACTTTTTTCATTCTGTGATACACTAGGTGTGGCTTTACTAAAGTGCATCCCATGTTTTCAAGTAGCTAATATTCTGAAACCCCTATCTGCCATTATATGGGATCCAGGAACCAGTTTGTTTAAATACCCACATTTTTTTATTATTTCTTTATCACTAGTTCTTCTACAAAATGATGAATAAATTCGGTATCTTCAAAACTTTCAGGAGATTCTGCATTTTCTTCCAGAAAGGTTTTTAGGTTATTCACCTAAGAATTTATAGTAGCCTCATTTTCAATTTCCTGAAGGGGACAATTAGCAGAAATTGCTGCTATATCTTGATAATCCGGTGTATTTTTATTAAAAAGTTTACGAGAAACATCGCTAGTAGAAGGTTGATTTTCTTCTTTCCAAATTTCTAGGAACACTAATAAATATTTTTGAAGATGAATGTGAATCATTATCACATTCTGGAACAAAACACTTTTTCGTAGTCATAATATTTATAAAAAGTACAAAATTAAACACTCAAATTCCAAATAAATTCTTGATCGAGACACTATGATGACAGATGCCATACACAGTGCTGCCATTTTGCCATTTTCTGAATTATTAAGTGACTTTTAAAACAATGAAACGTTAAATATGGTAAAAGTTTAAACAGAAATAATACTTTCAAAACACATTTGATATTATATATTTAAAAGATATTTGTTTAACGATGTTTTAGAAGTCTAAAAGTAAGAAGGAGTACACAAACGAACGTACATCACTTCTCGTAAACCTTCTAGCCGGCAACGTTGTGCGCTAGCTCCTATTGGTCTATTCCCGGTGACGTCATAAATTTTTAAAAAATTCATAACTCCGGCAAATGAATAGATAAAAAAAAAATAAAAAAAATTGTAGTTTTATTTTTAACTCTACTATTTATAAAAAAAATTTCAAAATTTTTGAACATGCCCCATTATTAAAATAATTAATATTACTATTTTTAATTTTTAGCTTATTCTATTTGTTATTATTGGTAATATTGAAAATACAGTTATTATAATTATTTGCTGGGTGATTTGAACCTTCAGAAAACGTGTTGTCTTTAATTTCAACTGATTTTTGAAAAACGGTTGTCGAAGAGGCAGATGCAAATTCGGGATCGGTAAATGGGTCAAATTTAATATTATAATTATTAAAAAACATCTCTTTTAACTGTTTTGCTGTGCTATTCCACATTACTTTTGCAACACCCTCCTTATAATCACATGAGCTTTTTTTCTTTATGTTAAATGCATAGTTTTCTAATATTTGACTCAGTGCTTCAATCGAAACAGATGGACTGTTAATATCATAAAATTTCTCAGAACAAAACTGCAAAAATTGTCTCCACACACTTTCTTTACTCCTCTTGCACGCCCCTGATCATTTTTATTGCTACATTTTTTCTAGTTTCGCTATGCTAATCGTTGTCAAGTGTTAACAAGTTACTCCTAATCTAAAAACGAATTTTTATTTTGATAATAACTATCTTTATTTATTTTGTACTCTATAATGTATACACATTTCATCGTCAATATCATAAGTCACATATTATGTAAAAAAGTATGCTCTACATTTTCACGAAATTGCTTATCTCATTTCATTACCTTTATTAAAATAGCACGTATCTAATCATGTGTATCTATCTGATAATTTCACGAAGAGACGTAACTTTATAAAGTTAGTGATATTGACGACGATTTGTCTATTTCATATAAATTTATGTACATCACTGTATCTAAAAGAACGTTTTTTTTATCTCGCCACATTTTTCGAATAATACCATTTTCTGTGTAATCGTGTTTTTCATTCCATGTTTATGTGTGCATAAATATTTGACATTTCGCGTATCTTTCATACCTACCAGTTTATAGCGGCATTTTCAGTAATTTCAGGAATTTTGTTTCAGAGGCCGGGCGGAAGGATGAAGCAAGGAGAGCTGCGGCGTGCCCTCCTGTTCGTTATTCTGTTCTGCATATTTCTCTTCTTTTATCTATACTGGCAACAATCGACCAAATATATTCCAACTGTGATTTATGGATATAAACACGTCAAAGCAAACCATAGGTGAGTATTAAACATATTTAAACAATAATTATTCATCGATTTTGAGATTAATTAATTTATTTCTTCTTAATTTTAAGTTAATGCGTCTAAAGTTATGTTTTCTACAAACGTCAGTAAAGGTATAATAGTGATTTATTTTTATAATAAAACATAAGAAACGATCGTATGAAAACTCGTACTATTACTTTGACTTACTATGCAATAATTCAAAAGCAGCTTTATTGGCAGCTTCTTCAATTTCTAGCGGTAGAAATTCATTTTCTTGATAACTTTCCATGGAGCAACGAAGAAACGAGAAAGAATAATTCGTGATTTATTGACGTTAGTTGTCAACAAAGACAAATCAACAAATTCTTTGTATTTTCTTTTGTTTAAGAGACATTGCACTTTGTATGTTTTTAAATTGACATCTGCGACATTAGTCAAAACTTTTGGAGATCTTTCGTCTTGAAACCTAGATTGTATTTCATATAGAATTTCATCGTTTAAAACTAATATTTATTTGCTTTTATGTTTTTAAAAACGATTTGAAAGTAAACGATCTGTTTTTAATTGATTATATAGTAGGATTGGAATGCGAAAGTTTGGAAAGATAGATTATATTGGCGTGCTTCTATGTTGTTAAACAGGAAATATTAATTATTATTTTCAATATTTCCTTTATGACTTTCTTATAAATTAGTTGAATCATTCTGTGGATGCATAGTAAAACCACAGCTTATACAATACAGCTAAAACACTCTCTTGGCGGCAACGGTTTGCGTCGATTTCGTCGCGCATCGCTTAAGCTCCGCCTTCGAAGGGAAAAGATGGTTTTGGTGTTCAGAAGCGTACTTAGGTTAGGTGTTGAGTCGTGCGTATAATTTCGTTGATTGTATAATTTCGTGGAGCCTATAATTTCGTTGATTTTGTTTGAGTTAAAGGTACTGTTATTATTTTGGTGACTCTTTAGCTATGAGTAGAATGAGTGAAAAAAAAGACATCATTCTGTTTGTGCAGTCAAAAGCTGTTTTAATAAGGGTTATACCTGCAAGAAAACATTCTTTAGTTTTCCCAAGGACCCAAACCGATAAGTACCACATTATAAGAAATTTTCATTGTTAAAAATATAATTTATACAGGGTGTCCCATTAGTGCGTTATTGTTCATTATTTTGTTGTAGACACGCAAGAAAGTTTTAAATAAAAGTTATATGGATTTGAAAAATACCTACATATTTTAAAAATATCTTTGGATATACAGGGTGTCACGTTTTTGCCTGGAAAATTAAAATGTATGTTTTTTAAATGGAACACCTTGTATTTTATTTTATGATAAAATTATTAACACCCTAAATTATTGTAAAGACGAATTGATACAGAAAAATTTTATCAGGTATGTGTGTGGTTACCTTTTAATAAAAGCCTTGCGGATCCACTCCTCTGCGATACCTGTCTTAAATATAACAAAGATCACGTTGAATTAGATGATTTTTCTTTTTATTGCTTTTAAAAGGCATATGATAACGCCAATCCAGATACATTTGGAAATCTGCAACTGTCAAATGATGAATTTGTAGAACTAATATTCAATATTGAAAAGATATTTCAAAATAATTTTGAAGAATTGGCTACAAAAAATAACATTTGTACCACACTTTTAGAATTAATTAACCCAATACCCTTTAGTCATCCATGCTAACGTTTTCCAAAAGAATAACTTATTTTATTGTATGTTTAATCTCAATAACTAAAAAATATACTGACAATTAGTTTGACAGAATTGTCATTTATTTAAAATTTTAAAAATAATAGCAGTCGGTTGATCAAAATATGAACGGTGATTGGCGAATTTATTTTTTTTTGCAGTGTTCTCACTACCTAGAATGGATATGAAATATATTCGTTCAATTGAAGGCAATAGCATACTTTTTCGTTTTGTAATCTGTGCATGGATATTAGCCAATCTACGCACATACTACAAAACGAAAAATTATGTTATTGCGTTCAACTACGAATATATTTCATATCCATTTTAGGTAGTGAGAACACTTTAACAAAATTAAATCTACAAATCACAGTTCATATTTTGGTCACCCAACTCTTATTATTTAAATTTTTTTAAATAAGTGACAATTCTGTTAAACTAATTGTCAATATATATTTTAGTAATTGATATTAAATATACATTAAAATTTTTGTGTAGACTCGATAAATAATAGCATTTTTGTTTTTATTGTGTCCACATTTAAAAAAAAATAAATTTTAATCAAACTACATGATACTAATTTAATTACGAGTATTAAAACTAAAGTCCTGAAAGTTTCGGTGAAGATGAGGACAGAGCATCTGCCTTCCACGCGAAAAGCCCGGGATCGAATCTAGGCCGAGGACTAATTAATTTTTCATGTTAATTTTATTTTATAAATTAGTCAACTTCGTAAATTATTTTAAAATTAGTTATTTTGTCTAAATAACCTAAAATAATTTTTTAAATTTGTAGATTTTCGTTAGTGGGTCGTAGAAAAAATATACTGACCATATCGAGTGGATTGTTCATATCACAATCAGACGATTGAGTACTCCGCATACGACGTCGTGCTCAAACTTCGTCTTTGTGTGATATTGCTATCATATCCACCCTTGTTGAACAAACTATAATTTATTTGTTTCCTTGGTTTAAACCAAAACTTAAGTTTTACATCAGAAATAGGAACTAAATTAATTTACTTTTCAAGTTTTCTTGTAAAAATCGATATTACTTTCTCCAAGTACAAATTTAGTACCTACCTAAAATAAGTACTAATTATGTAATATCGTGTAATATTGTAATTCAAATTTCACATTACTATAAAGTTTCAAAATTCCCTACTTCGGTATGGTCAGATAAAAATTGAATATATTATATTAATAAAAACTGTCAAAGTATTACTTCTACAAATCTGTATTTCAATTAATAAGAATACATCTAAATATAACCAATATTGTTAAAATAAAAGCACAAATTCTTTATAATTCCAAAATACCATAGAGTTCCCAGACCTCAGTCGAAGCATTCGTTTATCTAGGTATAAACCCTTTGCGCGAAGAGTAACACTTGCCAGAGACACGGGGCACCACTTGATTTGCATCCACGAGCGTGACACAATTCTTTAACAATTGAAGCCCTTGGTGTAAAAAGGATCCAAGCCACAATTTGTCGTGAAGTGACTGTTTTAGCTCAAAACATTTGTTAACGAGGATTTTACTAGCCACATACAAATTATTTTATCTCTAATCCGAAAGATGTGCTATTTTTCGTAATATTTATATTTAAATAATGTTTCTAATTATATTTGACAGATTTAAAACAAATTAAAAATTTAATTTCCCAAAACTTACTTAATATGGCATGTAACCAACCTTATTACGCCAAGGTTTTCAATTTTTTCAATAATAAAAAAATTGTTTAATCCGGGCCCGACTTTTCCCTCGAATCTAACAGAGATAGCACCATTCCGTCTTGCTTGGTTCTCGACCGCCAGATCAAAGACGCCGACACGGAGTTGTGGAGCTGTATTGTTAAGCTGTGGTAAAACTTCTTACGTTATTGATCTTTGTTTTAAGATAAAAAAAGTTACTTGGTATTTTGCACAGTTATTAAATTATCAATATTTGTGAACTAAATGATATTAAGCTGTTTAATATCTATCATTACCCTGTTTAATAATGACTATTAAAGTATTTTTCTACAAGCGTGCGAGAAGATGATTTTCTCGCACTCTTTCGAGTGCGAGAAGTTTATCTTCTCGAACGCTAATATATGTATACTTAAACTGTATGTTGTACCTAATGTCATTATACAGGTTAATTCTCTATTTTAGAAATAAATGCCCTTGTAGAAAAAATGTTGATCGTAACACATGCTAGAAGCACTTTTACGCACTCACTTGCTTACCCGCACTCCGCAGCGCGTCGTGCGGGTAACGCAGTTTCGTGCGTAAAAGTGCATCTTCTAGCACTTGTTGCGATAACTACTATTATTGGTTCCTTCTAATAAACTGTATAATAATTTACTAATTTACTAATGATAAGCAAAGTTTTTTATTTGTTTGCTTGTGATAGCAACACTGATCCAAGAAGAAAAGTTTAATATGTGCTACTATAGTCTAATCAACAAGTTCAAAAGCGTGTTTTTGGGACATACTATTACGAAAATAATGTTCAATAGCTCATTCGATTCGGAATAATGTCTAGATCAATGTGTAAAGAAAAATTTGCAGTATATAAAAAATTGCAAAAGTTATAAACAATTAAACACATCAAAAACATGGTGTTTGGTTTTTCGCCTATAGTTTGTAAACTATAAATATTTTTGGATTTTTTAAAAAAGATCCTTAAAGAGGAGGAAATTTGCTATAAATAAGTTCTGACTCCCGGAACTGTACCTCCATTATTTATAATTTTAATTTAACGCTCAAAGTAGCCTTCCGCGCGCCATTTTTAGGTTGCGCGCACGGCGTCGAAACCGAGTACGTTACATAAATTAATTTTTTTAAGATAATAAAATTAAATTCAAAAATTTTAAAAAATTCTAAACACTTAGAAGAATTCATTCCCGTTGGAATTTTTCATAAAAATTAATTTTCCAACAAAGTAGGTTATTGTTAATTAACAAAATTTTTAGAATTTCTTTCATTATTACAAATTGATAAAAATATTAAATACATACCTACATATAAAACAAAATAGCTTCATAAAAGTTTAAAAAATGTTAATACTTTGTTTATAATAACTTTTTAAAGTTTACAAAAACAGAAAAGTCACACTCTTAGCGGTAACTACGAATATAAAGAGGGGCCCAATTTGTATTTAAATTGGCCTCTAGACAACACATATCTAGGGGGTTAAGTTCAGAAGGGACCCTAACTTCCTGACGATGATTTAGAGGACGGGGAAAGGGTTTGCCCTACAGGAACTATTCCCTTTGGCAGTTTTCTCTCTCTCTCTCTCTCTCTCTCTCTCTCTCTCTCTCTCTCTCTC